CAGCTAGAGAGGTGTGAGGTTCGAACTCCAGCAACCTGAGGCTGACAGCTTTGTGGAAGCAGCCACTTAAAGGCCTGAGCTAGGGCCAGGCCCCCTGCCATCAGTATCTTAATGAAGGACTTAGCAGATGAACTTGCTCTTGTTGATGTCATGGAAGACAAATTGAAGGGAGAGATGATGGATCCACGACATGGCAGCCTTTTCCTTAGGACCCCAAAAAAATGGTCTCTGGTAAAGACTACAGTGAAATTGCAAGCTCCAAGCTGGTTATTATCACTGCTGGAGCACATCAGCAAGAGGGAGAGAGCCCTTGGTGCAGCATAATGTAAACATTTTCAAGTTTATCATTCCTAATGTTGTAAAGTAAGTTCTAACTGCAAGTTGCTTGTTGTGTCCAGCCCAGTGGATATCTTGACCTATGTGACTTGGAAGATAAGCAGCTTTCCCAAGAACTATGTTATCAGCAGTGGTTGCAACCTGGATTCAGCCCAGTTCCACCACCTGATGGAGGAAAGGCTGGGCATACACCCACTGAGCTGCCATGGCTGGATCCTTGGGGAGCAAGGAGACTCCAGCGTTCCTGTATGGAGTGGTGTGAATGTTGCTGGTGTCGCCCTGAAGAATCTGCACCCTGAGTTGGGAACTGATGGGATAAGGAGCATTGGAAAGAGATTCACAAACAGGTGGTTGACAGTGCTTATGAAGTGATCAAACTAAAAGGCTTCACATCCTGGGCCATTGGACTGTTGGTGACAGATTTGGCAGAAAGTATAATGAAGAACCTTAGGAGGGTGCACCCAATTTCTACCATGATTAAGGGGCTCTATGGACTCAAGGATGCTGTCTTCCTTAGTGTCCCTTGTGTCCTGGGACAGAATGAGATCTCTGATGTTGTAAAGGTGACTCTGACTCCCGAGGAAGAGGCACATTTGAAGAAGAGTGTGGATACCCTGTGGTCCATCCAGAAGGAGTTGCAGTTTTAGAGTCTTCCAGTGTCACCACATCACTGTCTAGGCTACAGGAGGGCTTAGTTGGAGTTGTGCCCATTGTCCTTTTTGTCTGACATGTGATTGAAGCAGCACTATTAAGATGGCCTGGGAAAACATCAGTTTACAAAAGTTAGAAGTAGAAACAGTTCACAAAACCCCACAGCTCTGTCCTGATGCCGGATGGTGCTTCACTTGTAGTCCTGGTTAGTATGAAGTAGCACAGCACCTGAAACACCTCACTACGCAGGCTCCAGTTACTCTTCAAACAGATGTGTGTTACTCGGTTACACAGCTCCACCCACCAAGCCTTGTCTGACCTTTCTCCAGTTGGTCACAGCCTGGGATCCAGTGTACAAATCCAATACCGCATGTCTTGTGCATAACTGTCTTAAAGGATTTTATTTTGTGTAATATATATATATATATATATATATAT